GGGGGGGGGGGGGGGGGGGGAGTAAGCCCTCCCTAAACCCCCCATAATGAAACAGAATCCCAACTTTTCCGCGAATTTTCCCATTTTTCTCGAAAAGGCTTCATTTTAGGCCAAAACTTTAAATAAACGCGAAAATTCCACTCTAAAAGGCGACTTTCATGGCGTGTCATTTTCATGCTAACAACAATATAATTTAATGAGGTGGTGGTGGGCGGGGGGGGGGGGGGGGGTTAAAAAGCTGTGCGTGTCCTCCCTCCCCAAAACGTCTATTTCACTTTTGCTTCCTAGCTGGTCATTGAGAGTTTTTGGCATTGTTTCTCAAGAGATGTAGTCAACTTCCAATGCTTTGATACTGAGAAATTTCCACCCGTGTTAGGTACTCTGGTGATGGTATTTCAGGTGAATTTATGTGAGGATGTGAGGATTGTTGCAGTCTTTTGAAGAAGAGTTTATACAACATACAAACTCCTCTAGAGAAGTGAACATTGGACACTGTTGTGGATTGATCAAGCAATTTGAAACTTGGAACAAACTGTTGATTTTTCTTAATTTATGACAATACAAATTTTTTGCCATGCTGCAAGAAAGAACTGTTTGTGTTAACTTGAATCTTGTCCTAATTTACTTGCAACAGAGCAAACATCAATCACTCTTTGATAGTTGCCTCTTTCTGTATCAAAAAGGATAGTTTTTTTAATGTTGTCGGTGCATCAAAGAAGGAGCATTAATACATCTGTGTCCGGCGAACGAACTCTGATTGACGAATAGTTATCAAAATTGTTCAACTCAGAAAAAAGCAAAATTATTCGAGTGTCTGCTTCTTATAGGTTTTATATTTATTGAGTTTGCAAGATGAAGTCAACTTTCAGACCGTCAGCGGAGGTAAACTGGGTACACCCTTCTCCATGCCTTAAATATACTTTTTTCCGTGAGAATATTGAGTGTATTCCATTCGGTTAAAAATAGATCAATACGTTGGTTCTTGTTTTTACCCTTGCTTAAATACTTTTCCAACTACAGGGTACTTTGGTTGGGGGTCCTTTCATAAAAATGTATCCCCTAATCCCCCTCATAATCGCTGAATGTTTTTGATAGATACATCACTGCGCTATGTGTCCTTGACCAAATGAATGATTGATTAATTTGGCAAACGATCAAATACACTTTAAGCCTATTTTCCAAACGTTTCTAAAATGTTGACATAAGCTTAAGAATGTACATTTCCCTCAATTATGAATAAACTCCCCTCAGTTTCAGTAATTTCCATAAAATTAAATAGTACCTCTACGTTCCCTGACTACGGCGTAATTACGTATCCCTTCAAATCTTAAAATTCTCTTAATGCAGATGGGTTTCCCCGTTCCTCCTATTATAAAATAAGTAATGTTTTTAAATTACCGTTCCCTCACCTTTTTTAGTGTTGTCTGGGGCTAAGATACGTGTATTAGTGTTAGCATGACAATAACACACTCTGAAAGTCGCCTTTTGGAGTGGAATTTTCGCGTTCATTTGAATTTTTTCGTGCTTATTTTTTGGGGGAGGGGGAGGGGTCAGAGGAGGAGGAGGAGGAGGGGGGATAAACCCTTCTCCCCCCCTCATTAAATTATGTTACAGTGAGCGTGTCAATGACAAGCCCTGAAAATCGTCATATAAAGTGGAATTTTCGCGTTTAATTAACGTTTTTCGTGATTATTTTTTGGGGGGAGGGGGAAGAGTAGGGAGGAGGATGTACCTCCCTGCCCCCTGTTACCTTTCACAAGAATCCACATTGATGTTCTCTCAGAACAAACGCTAGTTGCTTTCATTTTGCCGTCTATTTTCGCACATAACGCTACTTCAAGGAAGCGGCTAATCTTGACGGTTTTTATAGGGTGGGTACTGCTGGGGGCCCCCCTTTCCCCCACGAGGGGTTAGGCCGCACCTCGAATGAAAAATTTATGCTCATATCATTTTAGGAATAAACAATTTTACGATAGAGATATTTTGACATTTTAAGCCCCCCCCCCCCCATTTTGGGATTGCCGCGGGTCATGGCCAAAGTCAAACACAACTATTTTGAACCTAAATTTTACGAGCCTTCAGATTGGTTATGCGGAGTTTCGTTCTAAACTGAGGCCTTTTCGAGGAAAATTCGCGGAAAAGCCGGAATTCTGAGCCAATTTGTGGGGTTAAAAGGGGGGTTACTCCCCCCCACCATGATAGAATTCGCGTAAACAAGAAAAATCTTATTCTACTAGGTGAGAGCTTCAAGAAAATCACCATCTTCAAAATTCCCACGGGGGGGGGGGGGGGGGGCTTGCTGGGGGGGGGGGGGGGAGGGTTACCCCAATACCCCATTAATTGTTACTTACAAAAAACAGAGGAATTGTTACATTCACAGGATATAGAGATAATAAATGCGTCTTCCTTTATGTCTCATTATATACCACTCTCCCTAGATCGGCCTTGCAATAAAAATATCTACCCTAACTCTAATAGTAATTTTAAAGAGAAGAGGCTCTTCAGTCAAATTAGATTAAGTAACAAAGACTTCTTAATTGCAGAAGTGTATCAATCTTCGTATAAAATTTGCGTGAACAAACTTTGCTCTATTTGTGATATGCAAACTCCTGAGAATCTCGTTGAATGCCCGATGTACAACGCAATTAGATGTAAATTCCTGGGAAAATACTTTGGAGACCTAGAGCAACTGCTTGAATATAACACAAACAAAGAACAAACTTCAGATATCTACAAATATACTTAACTACAGCCATAATGATCAGATCATTTGTGTTAAATGAATAATTGTAACGTTACGTGTTAGAAGTCATGTCAAATTATTCACTAATCAGAAGACCTCTATCGCTTCTTCGCCTGCTGTAATTGTTTTAAAGCATGTCTACCTAAATTTTACTGTAGCATATACCTAAATAAAAGCCCCCCCCTTTGTAAATCCTTCATGAGAAGAAATAAAGTATCCTATCTATCCATCCATCCATCCACCCATCCATCCACCCACCCACCCACT